CCTGAAACCTTAAGGCTAAGGCTATGGCCATCGTCTCCGCCTTTGTAGCCGAGGTCGTGCGTACGGAGGCACTCGTTAGCAGCGTCATGTTGTTGTCGACAACAGTAATTATGTGTCTCTGCCAATCGAAACTGGCCGCATCGACGTACGCGACATTTGAAGCTGAGCCGAATTGCTTTCGAAGCCAGTTTACCCTCGCAGTACGTCGCTCAGCGTGAAAGTCGTGATGCATATTTTTGGGCACCGGTGCGATTGAGATTCGCCTGCGGACCTCTTGGGCTACGTCGACCAGCTCCTCATCAATGTGCTGTGGGTGGGGCGAAATTCCTATTCTAGTGAGTATCGCCCTGCCTGCTGAAGTTTCACTTAGACGATTCCTCTGAGACATGAGGACTGCGGCACTGAGCTCAGCATAAGTGTTATGTATACCGAGAGCTAGGAGCCGCTCGGTCGGTGTGCTGGTGGGTAGACCAAGTGCTGCCTTAAAAGCGCTTCTAATGAGCACATCCACCTGGCTCTCCTCACTTCTGTCGAGTGAGTGGTACGGTAGGCCATACGTCACTCTGCTCAAAACTAAGGCCTGGACAAGCCGGAGAGTATCCTTTTCTTTCATGCCTTTTTATGATAAGTGATGCGACGGATCATTCTAGCTATCTGTTTAACCGTAGTCTTTAAGGTGGTTATCGTGTGACTGGCTTTGCCATTGCTTTGGACCCAGAAGCCAAGTATACGGGCCTGAGTAACCTCGGCTATGGCATGGCCGTCTACCTGTAAGTTTATGTCACCGTTACTTTTGTAATACTTACTGTGTATTCTTATGAGTTCAGATTTTTCAGGCGCACAGCTCAGCCCACTTTTTCTTGCGAACTCTGCCACAGCTGTCGCAGCAGCCTGGAGGGTCTGCTCTTTCAGCGCCAGTGAACCCTTCGTAGCCCAGAGTGTGATGTCGTCCGCATACAATGTATATCCAAGGTGCGGGATTGCTTCGAGCTCGTGAGCAAGTCTGCGCATAGCTATGTTAAAGAGCAAGGGGGAGATGACTGCCCCTTGCGGTGTGCCTTTATTTGGCATCGAGAACGGCACCGACCTCGTGTCGCCTATCCCAATAGTTGCCGTCCGCCCAGAGAGGAAGGATTTAATGTAGTTAAATGTACGCTTTCCGCAGCCGATTGTGTTGAGTTCAGAGAGAATGGCCTCGTGCGAAACATTATCAAAGGCCCCTTTGAGGTCGAGGGCCAAGATCAAATGTTCGCCTCCCCTGGGTACGCAACTCATGACCTCTTCTTTTAAAAGGAGGAAGGCATCCTGGGTTGAGAGTCCGGAGCGAAAACCAATCATGGTAGCGGGAAACAGATTTTCTTTTTCAATGTAATTTTGAAGCCGTGTCTGTACTACTCGCTCGTAGAGCTTGCCCATGCACGAAGTAAGCGAAATGGGCCGCAGGGCTCCGAGCGATGGTGCTTTACCGGGCTTTGGTATAGTTATTATTTTGGCTTCCTTCCACTCCGGAGGAACGTGACCTTGGACCAGCAGTGGTCGTTAAGAAATTGCGTTATCTGCTCAAGAACCTCAGTGCTGAGGTTTCTTATCATAGCGTTTGTTATACCATCCGACCCCGGCGCAGAGTTCCGATTGGCTGCCTGGGCTGCCGCGAAAACCTCTTCTTTCGTGATTGCGGCGTCTAATGTGGCATTCTCGCTGCCGATGTACTCTAATGTACATGGCGGAACCACATCAGTACCGATATAACGGTCTTTAAGCGCCTGGATCAACTCTCCGTCGGTGCCGGGGTAGCTGTGTACTATTCTTTGAAGAATGCGGTTCATGGAGGACTTAGATTTGTCCGGCTCCAGCATGGACCTCAGTATCGCCCACGTCTGGCTAGTCCCTAGTGTACCGCGGAGAGAACCGCAAAACTGCACCCAACCATCGGTGGCAAGTTTCGTTGCGTATTCATTCGCTTCCTCCGACAGAGCAGCGATTCGCCTGTAGAGGCAGCGGTTGAGGCGTTGTTTTTTCCATCTCTTGATCAGGCGTCGCCTACTATCCCACATGTGCAATAGGTGCCGGTCTATCGCAGGCGCCTCAACTGTGCGCGCTATTTTCTTAGAGGTGGCATCATGCGTTTCTCGAATGAAAGCAACCCACCCACTGACATCACAGGGCGTTTGCTCCGGCAGAGGGCGCTTTCGAAAGGTCACCCAGTCTGTCATCACAACGTCACCAGCGACACGACGAACTTTTGGTGATGCTATAGAGGTGCTAAGAATATAATGGTCACTACCAAGGTTTTCATCGAGGGTTTGACCACGTGGCATTTTTAATGTTGAAGGTGAAGGTCAAATCAGGGTACGTGTCCCTGCTAATGCTATTACCAAGCCTGGTGGGTGCTGTTGGCAGAGTGATAAGGGTAAAACCTAATTTAGACGTGGTGTTCTCTAATAACACTCCCTTGGGTGAATCCCGGACGTAGCCCCAAGCGGTGCTCGGAGCATTAAAGTCGCCCACCACCACTAATTGATCTCTGGTGCCAACGGCTTCGAACTGCCTCGTTTAGGAGTGGGCCGAAGTCGTCTTTCCGGTTTTTGGGAGGACTGTATATGTTTAAAATTTTCGTTCGTACTTTTCCTCGTTTTTGTGGGAAGACATCGATAATTTGGTGATTAATGTCAGTCTGATCGTAATGGTCTAGCGCGACTGTCATGAAGTTACTCACCAGCGCTGCAACGCGGGGGTATTTTGGATCGTATAATGTGTAATATCCCTGCAATTTGACGGGACGGTTCCCAACTTCTTGCAGGCATATTACATCAGGTGGGATTAGTGCCGAATGGATGTAATTCTGCAATGCCGCCGCTCGTTTGTGGAACGTGCGACAATTCCACTGCCAGATTTCTAGGTGGTCGGAGTTTTGCGTGGAATTAGTTCGCGCCATGGTGACTACTGCCTTTATTGGGGGGTGTCTGCTTTCTCCGTGATTCGACGGTCCTTCGGTAGTGGACAGATCTCGTTATCAACGAGAACTTGGGCGACCGGCGACGATCAGCTGATCAGATACGGAGCCCGCTGAGCGCGATGCGTTTGTTTTTGACGGCTGTGTGTGTGTGCGTTCTCCCGGCAGCATCATAGACTTCGAGTCGAGTGATGAAGAAGAGGTTGTGGCGGTGCTGATGTGCTCAGCCAACGTGTCAGCACTGGCAGCACAAAAGCCTTCAAAACAAGCAAGGCGGTGGTGGGTGAGACCGTCCCTTCGCTCGCGAGAAGTGGCTGGCCACACAGGGCGTCTGCTTCCCGACCCCGACTTGCGCTCGCACGACGAGGAGTATTTCCGAGAGTAAGTTTATGGTTGTTTTACGTGCTTATAAGATAGTGCATAACATGTTATCTCATTCTATTTTTGGTGGTTAGCTTCATGCGGATGCCGCCACGAACGTTCGATACTGTGCTCGAACTGCTGCGCCTCGCAATATCCAAGCAGGACACAAACCACCGGCCTACAATTTCGCGCACGACTGCCTGGCCATGACCATTAGGTAAGAGCGTGTGGTTTGAAGATTAATATGCTGTGGGGTTGCGGCTGCGCTTCGCTTGTAAGGAAGTTTTGCTTGGGCAGATAGAACGAATTGCATTTATGACGTATGCGGGCTCGATGATGCAGTCGTTACTGCGGCCGGCAGTTTACGCGTAGGTGACGGGTTTGATTACGGCCGCATCGATCGCCTTTAGGTGGAGGCGAAATGCACTTAAGTTGGCGCGTTTGTTGCGCACGTACGTTAAGAATCTCAGGTGGTGAATATTTCAAAACCATCTGTTGTGGCTTATTGCGTAATCAGTACGTGGTTTCCGCTTGTAAAATCCCAGAAAATGGGATTCTGCGCTACACAATGACATTACATTGTGGACCGGTCAGTTCCCGTTTCCTGTTATCCTGATGCACAGGTACTATATAGAACGCAATTATTAATGATGTTATAAAATAAGTGAAACACAATCCTAAGCTTTGCGAGTACAATTATGCACAAATTGTTAGGACAAATTGATGTGCTGTTCGAGACACTCAAGAGTATTCATGCCAAAAATATTTTTCAGCATCGGGGAGGGAGGAGGTTCAACCAACCACCCTTTATGTATCTGCATGCACGACGGTGTGTGTTTGCACAAGTACACATGCGAAATTTCTCACAAACATAGGCAGCGTTTAACCCCTGCACCTTGCTACAATTATACGTATGTTCTGTTAAAATGACAGTGACCCAATACACTGTGGACAGTAGCGCAGTGGCAAAACGTATCGTGGACGGTAGCACATTGTGTGAAAACAATTTGAACAATAGACTTGAGTGATGTACGTTTTGCGAAATAGGTTCTCCTTGAATTTACAGCTTTTCAGAAATCCATGCTAAGGAAATTGCTACAGGTACGTTTAGGTTGCCCTTCTTCAACCTGAGTGATATGAGCACGTACGCTCTTCCATGAAAAGGTTGATGCATGCTTATGATTCGCTAAAATGTGTAGGCACAGAAATATTCACTGCATATACGACAGCTTGCAGAGTGCACAAGCAGTGCGACCGTTCGTGACCAGTCGCAAATGGTCGCGCGACCGCTCCTAGTCGCCGGTGTGCACCAGCCCTAATTTGGTTTAACTGTACAGGGCAATCGTTCTCTCAAAAGTGTACAATGGTTTTGTCCAAATGCGAGCAGTTACTGACCTTGGCTGCCATGAAACTTGACATATCGAAATTTCTAAAGTTAGTCAGCAAATATGCATTCTATCAGAAGCTGTGATGATGTCGTAGAAAATAGACAGCAGAGGTAGCGCTCATTAATACATAAAAATGAGAAACACTTTGGCAATGTAGCGTCATGACTACGACACTGAATTGCAACTATGTGTGAGATTTTCAAGCTCAGCATGCTCCTTTTACAGTGTGTGTCTTCCATCATGGCTGTGCCGACAGAAATTTCACATGGCACTTATGCGTTGTAGGTATGTCAAGGAAGTGCGAGATAAATTGGCGCACTACTTCGTCACAGACGGTCAGGTGCCTTGGCAGGACAAAGTGGTGAACAGCACTTGAGGCGTACAAGGTGAAGGTGGGTTGTAAATGCATTTTATTGCTTCCAGAACTTATGTACATAGCATCTTCTTAAGCTAAACAAACAAGAAAAAAATCACCCGTGGCACAACAGATACATTACAGGGAAAACTGTCATGTCCAAATATAACCATGAAATGAAAACACAAAAATAAATAATTCATGTTAAAATATTTGAGTTATTGCACGGTTATCGCTACAATTATCACAGAAATAAGTTGCCTTAAAGGGGTCATGACACCCAATTTTCAACCATAATGTGTGTTATATGAGCTGATTCTTGTATGTTCACATACAAGCTGGTGAAATTCGAGCGATTTGGTCAAGCTGCTAATTTTTAATCGCATATTTTTATAAACGAGCTAGTCGCCTGACAGTTGGGTAATACTGACGCACTCACTATCCATGACATCACGCACCGCTTGCTCGACAAGCTACTGCACAGTGTGCATTCTGGCAGACGGTCGTGTTTTGTCATCAACTGCGTTTGCAATCAAATTTTTTCGCATTGTTGAACTCTCCACTAAAGCTAAATGACTTCCAGGGGTCGAAACATGGCTACTGTGTCAGCAATGTAGCGCTGGTACTTGCAGCAAATAATTTCGGATGTCAAAATGGGTCCTGTGAATGTGCAATGCGTATACCATTTGCCATTGCTCCTTCGGCTTGTGACGTCTCGCACGCCATGACAAAATGGCGGTCACTTGTGGTAGGTTGAGTTTTAGGAGCCGAGCACTTCTACGGCATATTTTTGACTAAAATAATCTCTTAAGGCCCCTTTTCACACGTGTACTAGCACATTTTACTCTGTAGTTTTGTTTTTTGCTGACAACCGTCAATTGTTGAGTGACCAGTCATGACCCCTTTAAGTTAGGACTAGAAAAGTGAACACAAGATAAAAAAAGGTGGGTGTCATTGACTTTATATATATAAACACTTCAATTTGCTTCACTGCTCTGGCGCAATTTTGCCTCTGCTTCACACAGCATAAGTTCTACTGCATGCATTACATCTTGTGCAATGTGCACTGGTAGCTCTCTGAGGCGTGCATCGGTACGTAGAGCGAAGAAACCAATATCTTTTTTGATGACCCCCTTGTTCGCTCTGATGTGTTCAAGGTGCTCCATGCACGCTTGCGCCACAGCTTCATGACTTGTGCCCTCTCCTGCATTGCTGCAAAGCAAGTGTGAATTGCGATTCATGCAAATGCTTTAAGGTTGCATTGTTACTTCATAAAGCACCATTTAGCAAAAAAAACAGTGTGAGAACGACAAAGTAGAAACAGAAGAAACAAGACAGAGCACTGACTTTCAGCTAATGTTTGTGATTTTCGGCACTAAGAAAAAATATAGAGCAACTGAAGCAAATTAAATAGCACACTTAAAAGATAAATGTGTCAATAGGGCGTCTACTTCTCTGTGAGAAATAAATGGGCTTTTGATCTTTGAAACGGACACTCGTGTTTTGGGACAGGGTGCTGATGTTCTGATATTTACGTCTAAATATTACGGTAGTTACATGGGTTCTGTCTGCCTTAGTATAAATGTGCCCACAATAAAAACACGAGTTTAAAGTCAGTGCTCTGTCCTGTTTCTACCTTGTTGTTCTCACACTCTTTTTTGTTACTATGTCTGTGTACCAACTTGACCGAGCGTTAACCTTATAAAGTTTTGTATTTTGTAGCATGCGCAGGATTGTTAGAAAAAAATCTGCAAGTTTATCCTCTAAGAGTTAGCGGTATATCTCACCTAGCGCCCTCGCAGGTCCGTTGTCGTTTTTGACGAGCGTGACCTGCAGTGAATTATACATATTGCTTAAATGTACAGAAAGAGATCCTTTTCGAAAAGTTGTGGTTGTGATCTCTTGCCAGGAGTACCTAAAATAATTTTTTTGTTTACACACCGTTTTGATGGTGGCTGCTCTCTTGAGGTGGTTGCTGAAGCATCACCGCAGAAGGAGGCAGTATTATTATACAACTTATAAAGTGTCGCAATTGCATGTAGCAGAATCTGGTGTGAAAACATTAGGCACATTCTCCAAATGTGCTAGAACATGAAGAAGGTTACAAAACATGTTTTTAAGATTTAATAGATTGGCTATCTATGCATGCCCTTCATTTGTCATTACTTAGGTGGATTCATAAAGGTTTTACTCATTGCTGCAGGTGTCGACACGAGTCTCCTCAGCCGTATCAGGGGTACGTTCCGGTTCCGCTGCATGTCTTGGCCGAGGCGGTGATCTGCAGTGATGAAAATTTCTTTCTATGTATTTCATGATGCCGCTAGTACATGAACAGTTTTAGGCATTCTTTGGGAGTTAAAATGCCATTATGATTTCACTCAACACGAGGTTTATTTTACACTTGCGTTACCTCTTGATTGAGCACTGCTGTATGGAAGGTGTGCATACAGAAGTTTATTGTGCCTATTATGTTAATAAAATGCTATGTAGGCTGCACATCTAAATGAGAACAAGAGATATTGTCACGGAGATGAAGTAAAAGTAATTGCAGCCTGTCGCTGATGAATACTTTGCTTTTTCAGAAATATTTAACGTTGTAAAATAACCACATTCACAGAGAAACAATGCCTGTGCCCTCATGTATTCCGGTGTGCTTCTGTTCAGTGTTGAGTGCTGAATGTATTGAAAAAAATGCAGTGGTTTGGGCAAGCTAACGACCTGAACACCACCTTTCAAGCACGCTTGTATTTTTGATAATTTTGCAAAGTACAATCACCTAGTAATAAAAAATAATGTTTCTAGGTTCAAGTCCATGCGTGTACAGCTTCAAGTGCATGCACATGGTACCGAAAATTTTTGTGCATGCTCACCTCTCGTTAGCCTCTTCTGCTGTGATGTGGCTGCTGCAAGAGAACATGCAATATGTGATTCTGTCAGTGCTATTGTGTGCATCTTTGGAGCATTTTCACTGTTTTGCTACAATATAAGTACTTATGCTGCATTCTTGTAATGAATATGTGCAATGCTTGTCTATGACCAGCCTCATGACACATGCAATAAGTGATCTCTTTAGATTTTTAGATTTTGTATTAAGCCTTCCTTCTTTTGGTAAATGAGAGCCGAGAATGACACAGAAGTACACTCAATTCTCTCATTCTTACTGTTCTGTCTTCAATATTCTGTTTTGTGAAGCTGTCCACGTGCCACTTGTACGGTATGCTATATTTTTTGCGTTGTGCTGATGCATTGTGCTATGCTAACCAAAACATTTCATTTTCTGTTCAATGGACGGTAAGCATTATTCATTACCTTTGGTCAATGGCACTCATGTTGCACAGTATCCAGAAAGAATGATGCACTGAGTTATTCTTCGTAGCTGTAGCCACAGTTATTCGACATCAAAACAGCCCATTGCCATCATGTTCATGATCACATGCATGCCCACTTTGAATTACCTCTTGGGACTTCTATGTTTATGTGCAGTGTACTTATGTGTATTGATATGTGAGTATTTATGTGAATGTATAGCAGTCATGTGAATTAAATAAACTTTTTTTTGTTTAGTACTCAATAGTCAGCTAATATTGAACTTACGCCACAGGCTCAGACTCTCCTTCCATTAATTCAAGCATGGCCTCAAAATGGGGCCATCTTATTGTTGGAATGTAAAAAGTCGGCTGCTCCGGCTCCACTTCTTTGTTTTTTCACGTATGTCGTGTTGTTTCCTTTTGAAGATATCACGCAGGTTCTTAAATCGTTTCTCAACAAGGACACCTGAAAACAAAACCCTTGCTGTAAGAATGTATTGTGCATACTGTATCGCTGATAAATTTTCTACTTTATTTCAGCACAATTGTGAGCGGTCTTTATTTTCTTTGCCCAGATCATTTCGGCTGCAGCACCCTAGAAATCTGAATATTGGGCAACAAAATGAATCGCATGGCATCTAAACTTAACTATTGGTAGGGGCTTAAACATTGCAAAACCACGACATGATTGAGGGAACCTGCAGCCGAGGGTTCCAGAAATGCTACCCACCTAGTGTTTTGGACCGTCCACCTACATGTGCACGACATCACAGCTGACGCAATGATTAGTTGCGCAAAGAGTTATGTACACTGTTTCTTGAAGGTAAGCATGTCTGCCAAGCTATTGTAACAAAGAGGCTGTTTATACTGTCGGAAATTGAAGTTGACTTGCAAAAAGTCTATTTCATGAACCAGCACATGATGTCTTTATCACCTTCACAGTGAAGCTTTCTAAGCATTACTGCATTGCGCAAAACTCCACAGGTGAGTATATACCATTGGTATCGTATCGGCCAAGCGCAACTGTCGTGTACAGCGGGAGCGATTGTTGTCAAACGAAAGCAAACATGTTAAATAACTTGAAAAGAAGAATGAAACTAACTAGAGCAAGATGGCAATTTTCGAGAGAAAGAAATGCAACAAACATAGTATATGACTCAAAGTGTAACATAGAGAGAGCGAGAGGAAGGAAAATATAAGAAAATAAAGGGACCAAAACATGAAAACATACCAACACATAGAAGCAGACATGAAAAATTGACTTTAAAATATAGGAACAAAGAAAAGAAACAAAAACGAGGCACAGTTGAAAGCGGAGAGATATAACCACGGGGAATAAAATATAAAGGCACCAATAGACAAAAACACAGGAGAGGAAAGGAACAGTTGTGAAGAAATGAGGATTAGATTTGGGCCACATTACAGAGGAATAAATTCCCCCATCTGTGCTTTCCTTCAGTGTTCGCCCAGCCACTAGAACACTACCATATCTTTTTTTTTTTTTACGATTGCATGTCATTTGGCATCAACAGCATGCCTGACTCCCAAATCCGGACATTTGAGAGTGCTGCTAAACATGTTTTTTATGTTTTAATTACACGCTCCTCTGTGGAGTGCACAAAATGCGCTCAAAGCAGAAGCTACTTTGCATTCTTTTTTAGAGCAGCACAACTGCAATGCATAGGCAAAATTAAAGCGTAACCCCCCCCCCCTCCCTCACCGCGCACTAGATATTATGCATTGCAAATGCCGCACGTTCACAAAAGCACACATTCCCTTGGCCAGACGATGACGTACAAACACAGCAAGGAGCATGCGCAAGTGAGTTGGCAACTGCGAGCAGTATTTCGAACGTCTGAGCTTTATTATCAGCTATACAATGTTCTGTCACGTCGATTTCGATGTTAAACTCGGGAAGTCGCGAGAACAAACATGCACACAACTGCGCTCGCATACATCACAGTCAATACATCTCATGCAAACTAACCATGTAACCTTGCAGTACAAATACCAATATTTTCATTGTTCATTCATTGGCAACGCCAGCCATGCAGTACACACCTGTTTTTGCTTATATAGCTACTCAAACAAAAAATCTCGGTACTTACTCGACATGCCGAACATGCTTCGATCTGCCCAAGCCCGGTCCTTCTTTGTCCGCTTGTCATACAGATATGGGTACAGTTTAGTCGCGTCGATGAGGAGCTCGGCCGAGTACCCAAAGCTGGCCGTGGTGGCATTCGCCTGATGCGAGGAAGAATCCATGGAGGAACGTACGTGTCGTTCGTACCTCACGGAAAAAAAAAAACATACGAGGAGACCGAATGTAAACAAAGGCTGACGTCACTTCTGGTCTTCGCTGATTGGTTAAACTATTTTGCGACTGCAGTCGCGCGACCAAAAAATCGGTCAGGAAGCGACTGGCCCAAACAGTCGCTTTGCGACCGCTTGCGACCGTTCGCGACTGCTTGCGACCAGTCGCAAATGGTCGCGCGACCGCGACTAGTCGCCGGTGTGCACCAGCCTTAAAGGCATGACTTTCACACGGAGACAAAACTTGTATCAGTCCACATGTAATATGTAACTGTTACCAACGCTTCTAACAACTCTGAGGCTTGTCAGCACGCGCGATCGTGTAGTGTCTACTGTCTACAACGAGGTAGTAATATCTGGCTTGTTGCACACTGGCAATGACCGGTGCCGTAACATGTCTTATGTGCCGCCATTTGAACCAACGTGCCGCCGGTGTACTTGGAAGTAAGAGACGGGCGTATTGCGTCACTTTCTGTGAGTCAATCGGAGAAGAAAAAGCTCTCTCCTCCTGACTATTGACCAATCGCTTTGTGTGGGTGGGTTCCGTCACTTTTAACGTCATCGTCATCAGGCGCGACGAAAGTTTTGTGGGCCTCTTGCGGGCCCTCGTGTAGCAAGGGGAAGCTATAGCATCTGGGCACGATAAGCGAACAGGTCGCCTATCGGAGCGCACATTTCTCACTTCTGCTTAGGGCTGCACGCTTTTAAAAACAATTAACGAACGCAACTCTGTTTTGCATAGCTGTAAGTCGTTACAGTATGAAAAAGTGGAGGTTGAGGCCAAACGAATTAGCGTGAAGCGTCTCAGCGTGCCACCTTGCACGTTGAAACGTTTCGTGGATTTCCACACGTTGCGTGGAAATCCTCGATACGGTGCGTTCGTGGTGAAACAGTTATGTATTGCGCGTTTAGAAATCCTGCGTCCAAATCTTACGGGAAAATGTTTTTTTTTTTAACGCTTCGAGGGGGGGGGGGGAGCTGAGTTGCGATTATCAGGAACTTGTTATTCACTGCATTTACACTTTCATTTGATGCAGTAACTACAATAGATCATCTCACTGAACTCATTATCACCCAGTTTTTAATAAACAGTGACACTTACGTTAATTTACAATCGCTATAATAATTACGCAGCTTTCACTGAGTGTTTTCAATGAATAGATCGATTACCCCTCAGTGTTTCTTGGTACACCGCGCAGGTGCAGCGTTTACGGTGCTTGGTTCCCGACCCGAAGGCCACGGGTTCGATTCCTGTCGCGGCGGTCACATTTCGATGGAGACGAAACTCCAGAGGCCTATGTACTGTGCGATGTCAGCGCTCGTGAAAGAACACTTTAGACGGTTGAAATTTACAGCCACCTTTCCACTACGGCGTGCCTCTTAATCGTGTCGTTGTTTTGAGGTGTAAGACGTCCAACAATTTTTATTATTGTCGGTATGGGCTTGTTCGAGACGACGTGCAACGCTTTTTGTTCACAATTAGGCTTCCAATGGCAAGACAATGAAATTCTTGAGGTACACAGAATGCGAGAGGGAGCCTTCGAAGTCCCGACCTGCTCCTCTTGAGGTATGCAGTACGATTTCAGGACGGCGTGTCATTTCCAAAAGTCGCCCGCATTCTGATCAAACGAAGCATCACCTGTGGGGACACATATTTGTGGCCGCCGACCTGCAGACCTCTAGGTGCTTGAAGTAAAGTTTCAACGCCGCCTCAAATGCAGCCGCACATGTCCGCGGCAATTCCAAACTGAACGCACGTGGCATCCGGGAAATTTCCTCAATGAAAGCGTTGCCGTGGATCACATGCCTCTCAAGCGAGCGATCGCGTTTCGTAAAACTTCTACTGGTAGATCACGAACGCGGGCTCATTGATATAATCTCTTGCAAAAGCGTGACAACGTTGCACGTATTATTAATTAGCGATCGCTTCGCGCTTTCATTCACGGTTGATACAGGAAGTTGTCAATGGCTACGTCTGTTGCATCCTTTATTACCACTTTTCGAAGCACACGTCCGCCAGAACAACGCGTCGTCACGCGTCTGCCCGCTGTATGGTGAAGTCACCGAGAAGTGTCTGTTCCACTGTGCTTCATTTTGCTTTAAATTGACTGAAACATTAAATTGATTGAGACATATACATTACTGTTTCAGAAGTCTATTCTCATTAATTTTGCCATCACAGAGTAATTATGAAAATAGAAAACAAAGGTCAACGTTTCATACTTTAATTTCGCACCAAAGCTTTAGCATGTGTGCGTTATTGGGACGTCACGAATTCCAAATTATATTTATGGATTTCAGTCACGTTCCTTTAATAACATTTTGGGAAACTCCTTCATGGGAAGTCTTTGGGTCTGTCAAGATACATTGTTAACCGATGAACAGTCGTGTAGGCCCTTGCACACGGCGTCAAAATTGACGTCATGGTCAGCTCGTTCGGCAACCTAGACGTTGTCGCGATAAGGGTGCTGCATGTGGCATCGAAGTTTTAACCTGAAACTTCTGGAGATCCCACGTACCTTGGGAATCGATGTTATGCGAAGCATGCGGATGGAAGGTGACTGTGTTGCAATTTTGTTATTGAGCGGAACGTTACGAAGTTGCGCTAAAGATGTACAAATGCCCGCACAGACATACGTTAAACATCCGCATATGTTTTGAACAACCAGTTGTTTACAGTTGCGTAGTTATGCTAACAGCAACATGAATATCAGCAACACCAGAAGCGGTAAGATGGTATGAAGCGCTGCTGCTCGCGAGGATCGTAGCCCTGGACGCTGCTACGTAAATCCACTTCAGCGAATGGCGCCTAACTATAATTGAAGTTAACCCGACGTGACGGCTGTATGGTAGGAGTTCATATGTAATGTTTATAAAATTGGATAGCCAGCACTGGAATCACAGTTGACGTTTCACGAACGTTACACACACACACACACACACACACACACACACACACACACACACACACACACACACACACACACACACACACACACACACACACACACACACACACACACATATATATATATATATATATATATATTTATATATATATATATATATATATATATATATACCTACGCCTGAGTGCTTTCGCGAACGCCTCTTGACCTTCATGTAGGCATGGCATGGGAGGGCAAGAGAGTTTAATCATATGTCTGTGGGGACGACATGGATCCCGCGAAAGTCCAGTCACGTGTGTCGTCGGACCTTTTTTTCCAAACACATCTTGCACATACCCAAATACCACGGGCCGTGGTACGTGGGTATGTGCCAGAGGTGATCTACAGTTGATATC